TGTTTTGTCCATTTTGTTTTTTCCATCTTGTGAAGGAGTTCTACCTGACTATGTCAGTTAACTCTGAGTTAGTTACATTTTGATGGACCCCCAGAACAGATGAAAAATCAATCCATGGACCCCCTCATATATATACCCCCTACTTTAGACCTAATATCTATATATAAGTGTGTTGAATACTGAACTGGTCCTGCAGTTTTTTTCTGTCTATTGGACCATGTACATTTTTACATTTATTTACTAAATCTGGTGAATAGTAATGTATAGTTTACCACATTTTATATGAGTGGGAAAGTGGAGTGAAGGGAAATAAGATATTCATATTATTCATGTTATGTAAAAAAAAGGAATTCATGAATCCCTCGCAGTACCTCTGCAACCCCTAGGGGCTCTGTGTCCCCCTTTTAAAGACTAACGCTGGAGTTGACAGTGTTTCTTCAGTAATGAGGTGAAGCGGGAACGTCGTAGTTTCCACCTGATTCATGTCTGTCAGACACGCCTGAATTCCCCCCCTGATTCATGCCTGTCAGACACGCCTGAATTCAACTTGTTGCGTACGGGAGGAACATCCAACACTGACCCCCCCCTCCCCGCCCCCCCTCCCCCCAGGAGAGAAACCCCCACGTTGACTCAAAGCTCTGAAGTTTTATTTGATGACTTTTCCCGTCTGAGTGAGTCTAGTGGAGCCTCATGAAGACGAGGATCAAATGACGTCTTACTCACCATCAGATTTCAGTCGAATTACAAATATATTCAGTAGATAAAGCTGCTTCACTTATGACATCATTTTTGGTAACTTCCTGTCTGTCGCAGCCATCTAAAATTTCCCACCTCTTTTTTTTAACCGACCATATCAACACATTTACTCCCTTTTCACACTGAGTTAGCATACCTGCTGATCGCCTTCTAGTATACATGTGGATTTACAGGATTCCACGTGTAGGTTTTCCTCTTAACTCAGTCATTAGACGTGGTAGTCAATGTCAAACACACACTTCCCCACCGCGCCCAGAGCCCAGGTTTAGAAACCTGACCGTCCAGGCCGAGGGGACCATTCGGAGGTGGGTTGCGGCTCCTGATGGGAAAGAGGGAGGGGTGATACTAGAAAGGGTTCCTAAAGATTTGCTGTCAGACTGGCAGACCCGTGTCATAAATCAAACGCCCCAGATCAGGCACATCGGGGCTTGAAATATAACTTTTTCAACAGGTTTGAATGAGAGGATTTCACAGACGTTTTTCAAAGATTTCGCTGACAATCTTGGCAGGGACCAAGAGCCAGGTCTGATATGTGATAGCCTTTGATGCATTGATGGTGTGCCCTTGATGTGGACCATATGTCAATGACGTCGTATATTCTCATCTGCCCAAAATAAGTCCCTGGACCCCAAAAGGTGCCAGAAAATGTAAAGATGGAGGACGGTGAATTATTATAGAAAAAATAAATCCCAGAATGCAATGGTTAACCCTGAAATGTTTAGGTTTATCAACCCTGCAGTGTTTCTTCCATCTTCTTGGGTTTCCACGACTGTTGATATGGAGACAGTTTGAATCTTTGTGCTCATTTTTGAACCCAACCTTTTATTATGGGCTTGGTGAAAAACACTGCGAGCAGAGAAGGGTTGGACGAACGGTGTGATTTAAACTGGGGCTGACAGGCGGGAAGAAAAACGACTTACCGACTGAGCTGCACCAGAGCTGCGCTGTGTTTAGGTGACCTACAGTAACTACTGCAAATGTTTAAAGAGGTGTACATTTGAAGGGAAAACACTCCGTCAGAGTGTGTGTCGTGGTGACTGATAGCCTGCTGCTAATGCTAACCCTGAACCTGGGTTGATTTTAGGTTTGCGGTGGATTCAAAGAGTACAGTAGCCTGAGCCGAGAAATGGAACCATTCAAACCTACTCTCAGAGATTCTCTCTCTCTCTCACACTGTCACACACACACACACAAAGAAACACACAAGAATGGGGACTGATGATGTCAACGCTAAACCATCACTGACTGTTATTGCAGTTGCCATGAGGGGTTAGCAGTGCACTAACTGGAGGAATCCTGGGACAGTAGGCACCGGCCAGTAGAGTTGGCATTCAGTGCCATGGCAACAACACCCCCCCAACACCTCCCCTCTAACCCCCCCACCACACACACAACACCATTTATAACTGTAGAAGGAAGAGGAGTGGGAAAATAAAACAAAAGACTGAAGGACAGGCTGAGCAACAGAGAGAGACAGAGGTAACGGTCACTTTTAGTAGTCCCTCCCCGACAAAGTGAAGTGAGTCTGAGGTGTGTGTGTGTGTGTGTGTGTGTGTGTGTGTGTGTGGAGTAGGGGCGGGGGTTGATTTTCCTCTGGGAAAGTGCACAGGACTGTGAAGCTGTGCCGCGGCCCTAAATCTTAGCCATTTTTCTCCTCGGCCACTGAACTGCCATTAATCTTGGATGTTTGCCTGTTTGTTTGTAACGGATTATATGGTGCCAGAACTAACAAGTTTCAGAGCCGAGACCTTATTCTAGCAGAGCAAGTGTGAGACAGAGAGAGAGAGGGAAGGGGAGGGGGGGGGTGTTAAGGTGGAAAGAAAACAAAATCAAGTAAGAATAATGGGATGAAATGGGGGAGAGGGGGGGAGAGAGGGAGGGTCGTGATTGGTGTGTAGTCATCAGCGTCTGTGAGACCTCCAGAAGCTGCAGGTCAGTGCGGTGTTTGGCCGTAGCCGTTCAGAGAGCACGGGGAGCATTAACACAAACGAGTCAAAAGGGAGGATTTCCACTGGTGGGAGGCGAAGGCGTGAGCCAGAACAAGGCCCGGCTGAACAGGATTACACTGATGCTCTGTGTCCGTACCAGATGCACATTGTTTCCAATTAGAGCTGGGCAGAACAGAGTGAGAGCTGCTCATCTTTCTGAAGGTGAGGTTTCGTAGAGGTTTATATCTTTTTAGGCGTCGAGTCGATCAAAAAAACGATGAAGCGAATTCACTCGGAATCTGAAGTTTAACTCCGGCAGTGGTTGAATATTAATAAAACACAGAGGTGGGAGAAAAATGGCAGCAGTGAGTGGCAGTCCACCTCACATCACCTCACCTTACCTTGAATTCACTGCAGCTCAGACACAAAATGGCAACAGCACTTGAGGCTAAAATCGAGGGTTAACAACAGTCACTTTGAATCACGGCAGAGACATGTTCTCCACTCCTGACAGCCAATCCCTTATAAAGTCTGTAACAAGGCAATCTTGTTGTTGTGCTTTGGCAGCTCCTCATGGGGGTCTTGAGGTTTTTCCACATTGAAATGGAAATGTAACCTCTGTAGTCTTCAGCTGTCCCCAAGGTTTGACGGCAGGACCAGAAAACCTGCCGTGTCCAGGTTTTTATTATTCCGTCCGTTGATTCTTTTATTTTGGCTAAATTAACCTAAAACTTTAGTTGTTTTTTATTTAAAAAGTAGATAGAAATGATTCACTTTCAGTCGGGGTGTGAACTGGAAAGAATGTGGCGATACGATACCTATCGCGATACAGGGGGCAACGATGCGATATATTGCGATATACTGTGTCTACTGCGGCCTTTTTTACGACTGGTCACTTCCACCTGAACAACTCCAGCACTGGCTTTCCTTCGTTTCCAAATAATTAAAAAGTGTAATTAAAAAGAAAATGAGATGCGTCCCAGTGGTACACCTGGCTGTGCTCCAATTGTTGGACTAAATAGAAGGCATCCATTTTTAATTTGGTTTATGTTGAACAATATAAAGTTTGTCAGTGAAACACAGGAGTTTCTTTGTCCTTTTAACTGATAAATGAACGTGGGAGTGTTGAACCGAGGCATAGATTTCAGAGTGTTTTTGGGGTTTTTTTTTCAACCTCTCGCACAGGAACTTATTCTTATGAGCAGAATCCGGGCTGAATATAAATGTCTAGAACTGTGTTCTTAGTTAATATCCATTTTAGGTTGATTTATATAGGTTTAAACGTGGCCCAAAAATGATTGCAGTTAACTGAAAATGGAGATATCATCAGCATAGAGAAGTAAAAAAAAATCTAATATTTGGTCATTATCTCCTTTTTTGCCTTTCTTGCAGTTTTCACTTATTTTTTTTAAGCTAGTCTCGTCTTTCACTGTTGTCAAGAGTTGCGTTCAGTTAACGGTAAGGCTAATGCGGGATGAAAATGATGCACGTCTTATTGTCATGGAAATGAAAGGCGCGCGAGTTTAGCTAAATTGAGCAGTGAAAAGGATTTCTATACGTTACTTCACTGTGTAACGTTTGTGCACATTAAGGGACGTGCAGTGATAAATATGAATATGAATTCATATGGAGTGATACATTATGCAGCCGCAGCTTTATTGTTCGTAAGTGTGTGACGCCTGGGGCCGCGACCAGCCGCTCATACAGTAATTAATGGCGCACGCTAAAGGATTCATTCACAGATGGATTAGTTGGTAAATGTCTACACTTCTAACCTGCTAGTTTATGATTCACGCTGCATTCATTAATAAGTCATGAGTCACGAATGGATCGTCCACAAGTTCTCGAAAAACAAAGGAAAAAAAATCAAAGCTGGAAACTGGAACGTTTCCTCCTAATGAGTTGTTAGCCTGAGTTTTAACATGCGCTCCTTGACCGCTTATCCACGCTGATGCTCTGAACTTTCCTCTGAAGTATGTCTGAGCACCAAAGACAGGAACGAGGTTATAAATTAGCCCCCAGGTCCCAGATCTCCCCCTGAAGCAGGAGCCATGGAACCATGATGGATGAACACACGTACGATGGCCTTTCTGCTTCATTAATATTCGTCCATAGGCATGTGTGATTCATGAGGTGGAAGATATGGAAACACAGTGGCCCGCTTCCTGTCGGGGACGGACACTGGTCATGTGTGGTGTTGACACTGACATTTTTAGACGCAGAGACGGGGCAGGATGTTAGGTTGATTAATTGATAATTGAATTTTAGTGATTGATTTTCCTAATGTCTCTCTTTTTATGTTTTCCATTTTTGCAGATGACATGAGCTGCTCAACAACTGGTGATGTCATTGTCTGATTCTCCTCTTCGTTGTGAGTTGTTTTCCAGAGGAGACCGATGTGAACTACATCCAGGTGAGTCGGTCACATATATGTCTTTATATTTGTCTTTGTTAACGAAATCATGGACAAAATTTGACATTGTTCTGCTGTAATATCCATAGAAGAAGTTTGTGGACTGCTTAGTTGATATTAGCCTCTACGTGGATGACACCATTGTTTATATATTTAATTTTTACGACCGTAAAGCATAAATCAGAGAGGTGGGCTGTACATGTAGATCTTTTGTTTAATTTTTTTTTTTTTAAATATGCTACATGGTCGAAGCAGCTGTGAAAAATATCTGCTGATTTTCTTTAAATATGCTACATGGTCGAAGCAGCTTCAGGACAATAACGCAGTGATCTCTTATGTAGTTCTCTGATTTCAGTTTTGTCATGAGTTTATTAGCCAATGTGAAAATGTAGTGTTATGTGAAATTCCAAGTCGAGATGTTGTGGTTAGACCTACGGGTGCTGTTGGTCGGAGTAACCCCAGCCCCTGCAGTGACTAATAGAACTTCGAGTCTCACAAATGCGTTGTGTTGGGTAGAGCTGTTTTTATGACCCGGAGCCACTGCTACTGAGGTTGAAAACAAAGAAGTGGTTCATGATTAGGCACTGGCTCTGAACTGGCCCTGGAACCACCTCGGTGGAAAAAAAAAAAAGAAAAGAAAAGAGACGTGCAGAAGCAAAACTTTTAATCCCAAACTTCCAAACTGTCACGTTGGGTACTTGTCAAGACGATGTGCTGTAATCCAACTCAGAAAATGTGTTTCCTCTCAACCCTTCGACCCCCCCCCCTCGCCAACCAACCCCTCCCTCCCGTCCACGCTGGTGGATTCATTAGCGCAGCGTCATTATAAACAGATCAAACAGTCAGACACACTGGAAACATTTCCTGCGACTGTTTATTTACACTGAGCTCAAGGCGCTTCCATCACAGAATCTCACATTTGTCCTTTCTGTTTGACACGTCGCACATGTGATCAGCGCGGTTCTGTCGATGAACTGTGAATGCACCATTACAAACACGAGTGTACTCGGTGTTTCCCGCGGCACGTTGTCAAAGTTGAACCTGACATATTTGCTTACACAGGATTGAACGCTGGCTCTGACTGTTTGTGTTAGCGCTCGTGGAGCCCGCCGCTGCATCTGGCGTCGCAGCGGAGGTGAAATGGGGCAAATCAAGTGTGAGGGGTGGTTTGTGCTGCGCTTCTAATGCGTTTCCCCTTCAGTTTACCTCGGCCCATCACCCCGTCGCTGTCAATTCTCTAAACAGACGACGATGTATTAATTATATCTAAAACGACACTCCACCTGCTCGGCTGAAAACGTGCTGCAGAGCAGGGATTTGTTGTGCCATGTTTTTGTTGCGTTTGTGATTGAGCGACACTTTAACACAGACGGGCAAATCCACACCTTTGTGTTGAGGTTGTGTAAAGCGTTGGTATTATGTTGGTGCGTTTCTACGGCTTTGAGTCGGATGCTGCGGAGCTGCATTAAGGATTTGAAAATAAAGAACGTCCTCCCAGGTGAGGAGCTCGACAGAGAGGAATTCTCAAAGCGTATAAAGAAAAGGACTTCTGAAGGGAACGTAAAGATTTCTTTTTTTTTCCCTACCTGCTTAACATTTCCTGTGCAGATGTTCCCGTTCGTTTGTCCTCAAAGGAAACAGCTGTGTGTAAAAGAATGTGCCGCTGCATATGAATGTGAATGAATATGGCTCTGAGTATTATGTCTTTACAGCCCCGGGCATTCACTCAGACGCATTCATTTTCTACTAACAACAGCAGCTCTTTAAGGCCTGAGCAGGAGGCTATAAATACCTCCCTACCTGCCTGTGTTGCCTCTGAAGACAGGACTGCAGCCTTCAGCCCAGGTGAACCTAATGGAAGGGCCTCACATTGCTGCAAAACCAGCAGTTATTGTGATGACTCTAATTTACACCCGGGAGGACGCTCCAGACCTCAGATCTTCTCCAGAAAACCCTCACAGTTGGGTTTGATTTTCTTTTCTTTTCTTTTCTAGCGAGAACCAGACTCAGGAGTGTCTTGTTCTTCTCCAGTTTTTCTTTTTCTTCGTCTTCCCTTCTGGCTTCTTACTCACTTCATTCATCTTCCATCCAGTCAAGTGTCAGCCAGTCCTGTTTGGGCCTCATATATCTTGTCTCACCTTAATACACTGTGGCTGCCATGGCTGCAGGCCCTCTCTCTTCTACACCGAGTAGCTCAGTCAGAAATCCACCCACACTCAGAACTAAAATAGTGATGCTAGGTCTCTTTCTGTGCCGCCAGGCTGTAGGTTCATAGGTTTAAAAAAAAAAAAATCAGCCCAAATAACTCATTATGTGTTTGACTTTGAGGCCAATACACTTTTAATAATTC